GATTTTCTCCCGTCTGCCATTAAGGGTGGTTATTCTTCATGCAATAGAAAGTGGAATGGCTGAAATTTTAAAGAGCCCCGCGTGTGACAATACAATGATATGCTAATTTGAAAATGTAATGAAAAGTGGAGATTTGGATCAATATTATCCCGTCTGCCACACATTGTGAAAGTATTTCAAACAAAAATGAGTACAAGGAAGCTAAACGGCGGAAACCCTAGGTTAGTATAAAGTGTCATATTACTAATTTCACAATGTCGCCAAAATTAGACATGTGGATCAACAAACTCCCGTCTGCCAAATTAAATTTATGTTGCATTCACGATGTATGAGATCAATAAGGAAATGGCAGAAAATCTCGGTTGTTATAATAATATTTAACAATTTTTGAAGTTGCATCAAAATGCTGAGATGTTGAAACAATTTTCTCCCATCTGCCATTTGGAAGATAAGTTTGACATGCAAAGTAAAATCCAAGAAATGTATTCGCAGATGTATCCAAGGTATATTAAAAATTGGCAGAAACAATAAAAATGTCAAAATTTTTCAAAGTTGAGATCAATTTTTTCCCGTCTGCCAATAATCTAATATTAAATAAGCTACTACTAAAAGCTTGAATTTTGACTGGCAGAAATTGCAGGCTGATACAAGTTCCTATATTTGATGAACAAAATTGGAACAAAAATTGTTCATATCATGAACGTTTTTAACCCGTCTGCTGTTTGTTTCAGTGAAATGTAGTTATGAGAATATGCATATTCTCAATATGGCAGAAACCGCATTGAGCTACATACGTTGCACAATAGGCTCCTTGCATCAAATTTTTTTATTGCTGATTTCGATAGTCCATGAAAAATAAGTCAACACGTGTTTTTTCTTTTTCTTCTTAGTCCAAAATTGACGGAGATACAACACTATGAAATCTGCCTATGACGTCACTCATCTAATAAATAAGTGACGTTGCACATGCTCAGTATATCTATATATAAAAAACTTTGTATAACTTCCGAAATAATCATATTTAGACAAAATAAAAAAACACGCATTGATTTTTTTTCGATTTCCTACAGTTTACAATAAAAAATAATCAATTTAATTTTCCATGCAAGTACCCTATAATTGTTGAATTGCCAAAATGTTTATGTGTCCAAACAACTTTCTCCCGTCTGACAACCGTGTAATTAAAATTAAAGTAGCTCTCAAGATACCTAAATATGATAATAGAGCAGGCGCTACAAGTAGTTGAGTATGCAAAATGTAAGGACCGGCAAAAATGCTCGAATTCATATTCCTGTGATCCTAAAGAATGGGAAAGTACATCTTGCCGGCAGCTGGAGTGGTTCCTAACTCTCCTGCCATCCCCCAATGCAAAGTTATATGGAAAATATCACAATTTCAAGTCATTTCACAATAATTTCTATTATTGATTGTATCTAAGGCTTTCATTTCAAGCACTCAAAATAAATTACCTACCACTTGTTGGATATCCTTGCAATTTTGCTCAAAAATATACACAAGTAAAAGAAGACTGCGAGATGTACAGGGTCATCCAACGACGACTGAACAGGGGCTTATTTTTGACCTTCTCCGTTCCTGTAGTTTTGAAAAAATTCAAAATAGCCAATTGGCATATTTTTTTCTGGAGAATTCAAAAATGGTACTAAAAAATCATTTAAACTAAAAACCAAAGAGTTATGCCATGGATGAACTGTTTTTCAAATGGAACAGCCTGCTTATTATAAAATTTCTGGAAAAGTCGCATTTTCAACGTCTATTCCTTTGAAAATATTTGATATTCGATACCTATTTTTATTTTGTTTCAATGTGGTTATCCTTAATAATTTCAGCTTCACCTGTTCGTGTTGGCGACAAAAATGTCAAATTTCTTTTGACTTTGAACAAAAGGTGATTATACCTCTATCATCTATGAACCTATTAAATTGAAATGGAAAAGCTAAAATTATTAAGCATAAAATAAAAACAGCGGACTATCGAATATTTTCAACAGAATAGACATAAAAAATGCGACTTTTCCAAAAATCATACAAAACAGGGTGTTTCATTTGAAAAACAGTTCACCCATGGCGTAACTCTTTGGTTCAAATGATTTTTTTGTACCATTTTTGAATTCTCCAGAAAAAAAATATGCCAATTGGCTATTTTGAATTATTTCAAAACTACAGGAACAGGGAAGGTCAAAAATAAGCCCCTGTTCAGTCGTTGTTGGATGACCCTGTACATCTCGCAGTCTTCTTTTACTTGTGTATATTTTTGAGCAAAATTGCAAGGACAAGTGGTAGGTAATTTATTCCGAGTGCTTGAAATGAAAGCCTTAGGTACAATCAATAATAGGAATTATTGTGAAATGACTTGAAATTGTGATATTTTCCATATAACTTTGCATTGGAAGATGGCAGGAGAGTTAGGGACCACTCCAGCTGCCGGCAAGATGTACTTTTCCATTCTTTAGGATCACAGGAATACGATTTTGAGCATTTTTGCCGGTCCTCACATTTAGCACACTCATATCCGTCTAACTCTCGGTCTATAAGGCAGAACAATGAAAAATTGTATCTTTAGAAAAAAAAATGTTTTAATCATCAACATTTACAAAAACAGCACGTCATTATTATCATCAGCATCATCATTATCGTTTTCATTGTTATCTATCATTTCAGAGTCACTTCCATCACAACTGATCTCACCTTTTCCATTATTATCATCATTATTGCCGTCATCCAAATCTTATAGATCGCCAAAATCTTCGTTTTTATTAATTTCTTCTTCATTTTCGTCCTCATCAGAAAAACCTATATGTGTGATAGGCATTGGAAAAAAAAAATTATAACTTGTATGTGAGATTTCAAACATTTGTACATAAGCAGTCATTTTGCCTTTTGATAGGTATTCAGTTTGATAGTAACTCTATTCAATTAAGTCAGCAGACGGGAGAAAATTGCAATTTAACAACCATATGTGCAACCTATGTAACTTATTGCGGTTTCTGATGCCATATTGAAAATATGCATATTCTCATAACTACATTTCTCTATTTTCACTTAACCAAATGGCAGACGGGTTAAAAACGCTCATCATATAATAGATATTTATTTTATTAGGAGTATAAGTAATACTTATGTGACGCGCATGGAAGTTTGAAAAGATCCATGCAAGTCAAATGAAGAATACTTATACTCCAAATGAAATTCAATATTTTATTTTCTAACAATCTTTATCCCGAATAGTGCAGAATTTTTAATTTAAATTATGACATTCATTCAGAAGGATCACCTTTATAAGCAGCTATACCTGTATGTACAGGTGAACTACCTTAAATCGCTAAGAAAAAACATGCGTAACGGCGTAAAAATGTTATACTCCGGCGGAGTATAACGCTTATACGCCGATCAAGCTGAAAGTCATTAAAGTGACACTTATACCGTGTCAAAATGATCACAAATAAGTAAAAAAATTACTGTTATATGACGTTTGAAAATAAACAATTTTTGTCGCAATTTTGTTCATTGTTTATTAGGACTTGTACCAGTCTGCAATTTCTGCCAGTCAAAACTTAAGTGTTTGGTAGCAACTTATTTGATATAAATTGATGGCAGACGGGAAATAATTGATCTCAAATTTGAGAAATTTTGACATTTTGAAAAATTAAAAATAAATATCTGTACCACTTCAATTTTTCTGCCGGTGTAAAGGTACATTATTTATCTAAAATCCATTGTAACAAAACATGTTTTAGGCGGGAGAGAATTGTTTCAACATCTCAGCATCTTGATACAACTTCAAAGATTGTTAAATATTATTATACCAACCGAGATTTTCTGCCATCTACTTATTGATGTATTACATCGTAAATGTAACATAACTTTAATTTGGCAGACGGGAGGTCGTTGATCCACATGTCCGATTTTGGCGACATTCTAAAATTCGTAATATGACACTTTATACTAGCCTAGGGTTTCCGCCGTTTAGCTTCCTTCTACTAATTTTTGTTTAAATTACCTTCACAATGTGTGGCAGACGAGATAATATTGATCCAAATCTCCACTTTTCATTACATTTTAAAATTAGCATATCATTGTATTGTCACACGCGGGGCTCTTTGAAATTTCAGCCATTCCACTTTTTATTGCATGAAGAATAACCACCCTTAATGGCAGACGGGAGAAAATCGTTTTGAAAAAATGGTCGTTATGCACCGGTCTATAATAAACTATAAAAGTAAATTTTAATTGTGTATGATAATCATTTTTAAAAAATACTCATAAGCTTTTATAAAATCCCTAAGTAATTAAATTAACTATTTTTCTTGGTTTTTTTCTTAATTTTCAGTGCTGAAAATGAGAGGCAACAATGTAAAAAAATCAAATTGTGACGTAATAAGGATAAATTCTGTGTTTTCATTTAGAGGGTTTTCTATTTTATTTATTTTCTCAATAAAGACTTCTAGTTTTTCAAAGGTAAGGGTGCAGAAAATTCTATTTTAAGTTGCTTTATCCAATTATAGGTATGTCAATTTCAGAAATTAGTGATAGAGTCCGTTGGATTTAATATAATATTAAATTTCAACAAAAAATCCTGCCATTGATTCTAGAAAGTTCAAAATTTTACTTAATTTTATTTTCTTTCTTAGAATTTTAAGTAAATTATAATTTCCTACGATAAACTTGCACCCATTATGCACGCGATTGAGCCGTTATTTGCATTTTGTCTTAAATTGCCCGCTTCGATCACACTTAAATTTGTTCGGAGGCGTTGAATGAGCACGTGGAGTAATTTACCTTTATAACCAGTGTAACAGAACTTATTATAGGACAAGTAAAGTAATTAATATTAATGATATACGATAAACAATATATGCTGGGAGAATTTCTTAAAGTGCTATTTACTTAATAAGAGGGATATAGACATCATTACCGCACTACATCCAAATATAAATTATGTTTAATAAATGTTCAAAATATTATAAAAATCAAAAGTCTTACCTGATTTAACAGTTTTCCTCAACGAAAAATGTTTCGTATTATCTTTGCCAGCAATTTCCTCTTTGACAGCTTTTTCACCGACGCTCTTCAGTACGGATTTCGGCCGTTCCTTTTCATCCTCAGACCCATCTTCGTTTTCACTTCCACTTGGACTAATCAGCGATACCATCGTCACTATTTCCGAGCCTGTTTGAGCTGCGTTCTTCCATTCTTGAACCTCAGCTTTACTAGTTTCGTCTTTAGGCGAGTTGAATTTCTTGGAGCTTTTCAGTTTTCGTTTGCTGGCGAGAAATTTGCTTTTTTCCGGCTTGGTGCTAGGTGCTGAGCTTGATCTTACTAAAGGAGGTCTTATGTTTATTTGGATGTCTTTTGAGGTACCGTGAAATGCTGATCCGGTACGTTTTTGGAATTTTTCGCGTCTACTTTGTGCTGTCATCGGTCGTATGATCACGTTGATGCCGTCGTTGTTTTGTACTTCTTCTTTTTCTTTTTCAACAACCAAAGGTACTACTACTATAGTATTGCTTCTGGTAAAATTTGGCCTTTTTTGATTCATTGTTTCAGCCGCTTTGGGTGATTCTAAAGGTTTCTTATTGCTAGTTTTCTTTATTTGGAAACTTTGTTGTGACGTTACTAATGGTTGTAAATACTTTGGTTGACTTTTTTCTATCAAAAATTGGTCACTATTATCTACAGAATTATTTTGGCTATCAAGATTACGGTTTTCTTGTGTATTGTGCGCTAAGTATATTTGTAAATTAGGTTTCACCTCTGTTTTTTCATTGGTGTTATTGTTGTTATTTTTAAGCCTTTCGCAAAGATCTTGCTTCGAACTCAAAATCGAATCTTTCTCCAACGAAGGATGCCTTATAAGTTTACCACTACTAACCTTTTTAATTTCTTTACTACATTTTTTAATAATTACTTCATCGTTAAGGGAAAAGTTTTCATTATTGGCCCATGCAATTTTCACTGGAGGTCTATCTGCGTTGTTTTTTTCATTTTTCTTATTTTTGGCTGTTATGTGTACGTCGCGATGCTCGAACCATGGATCTTTAAAATCGACAATGTCTTGGGAAAATTGCTTCCTGAGACTTTTGCGTTTTTGATGGGGCGAATCGCACGTTAGAGATAGTTGACGGTAGATGGGCAGTTTTCGTATCGAAGTTGACGATGTCATTTTGTGTGCATGGCATTTCTGAAAAGAAAAATAATTGTAGAGTATTGAATCTTGGGAATATTGTATAATGTATGTAGGTCCTATTTGCGGAAGTAAAGGCCCCAATTTCTATATTGTCCACATTTTCAGAGGTTCAAAGTGTCATTTTCACAGGTAAAAATGCCATTTTAAGCGTTGATTGTTTTATGTTATATCTTCCCTAAAATGGTGGGTGCAAGAGGCAAACGGCCATATTCTTTCTTTCTATTTAACATTTATTTCCGCCTGCCTTCTCTAAGAGTAGCTTTTGTGGACCTCGAGGATTTTGATGGTCAAAATAAGTTTATTCAGTTCTGCGGTGTGGTTTGGTTGTTTCCTGATTCACTTGCTCCAGTTGCGCAATTTTGCACACTAATTTTTGTGGAGAGAGTTACCGACCATCAAAAAATAAATATTTTCCCCCGAGCTCAACCAAACATAATAATTATTTTACTGTTATATTCTACTACAACTTTCTCAATTGTAATTCAGAAAGCGAAAAATGTATTTGAGAAAGGGAAATTAAATTTCACATAGCGTTTTCTGTTGGTAAAACTCGTGCTGCCCGAGCTCTGCACTTAACACTGAATCAGTTCACGTTTAGTGCAATTCAAAAGTACATGAATTTTGTAATTCTTTTCAAATTTTTTACTTAACGATCCCTAACCTAACCTAAAATTCCTAAAAATAAATAACAGATATTTTTATGAAATAAAAAGGTTTGTGTGTATGAAAAAGTTGAAAACGGAAGTTTTTCCTGTGTGTAAAGTACATAATTAAGCTGTCTGCCAAGATGTGCAGCAATAATTCCAATGATACCTTTTTTGAAAAAAGTACCCACTTATAGATACTTCATGATCCCTAAATTTATAAACTACTTCTTCAATAAAATTTTGGACTTTTGGTATCTTATTATCCCTGGCAAACATTGTACATAATGGTTCTTCCTCTTCATCACTGTCGCTCGACGAAGATAAAAAATATAGAATTTTATCAATATCGATATCCATAATTTTTTGGTATTGTTTATACCATAAACATGTTTAATACATAGATTTTTCGACACTTTAAGCCATTTTGTTGTGCTCTGATATTGGCACGAGCTCTCTGACCTCGTGCTGGAAAAGTTGCACGAGGGCAATAATTGATTGCTCTAGTTTTCCAATAGAACATAAAAACCCGCTCGAGAACTGCCAACAGAACATAATTTTTGCATGAGTGCAGCATGAGTTTTACCAACAGAAAACGCTATCAGAAAATGGAAATTGTAATTAAGAATAGGAAGTTATTATTCAGAAACGGAACATAATATTCAGAAATGGGAATTTGTAATTCAGAATAGGAATATGTAATTCAGAAAGGGGAAATTTATTTCCAGAAAATGTAAATTGTAATTCAGATATGCATATAATTTTGAAAATCGGAAATAGGAAGATGAAATTCAGAATTAGTACCGTGTAATTCGGAATCATGAAGTATCTATGGGTGTTTTTTTTTTTTCAATTTTTAATCTTGTGTCGCTAAACACGGGATTGCTATCCCCGTTTATCAATTTATCGTCAGTAGAGTTAACATAGAAAAGCTCTTTACGAATCAAAATAAAAAAATCGTATTCATACAAATTAAGTATTTATTCAGTAGGTAAGTAACATCGTCACCAAAAGTAACTGGGACAGCATCATATTAGCGCTTGTACTATTATATGAATTTTATTGACAAATATTTGTATTCCAAGAGCCCAAAGCCGCCAGGCACAACTTATTTTCTAAAGGGCAAAATATGTGGTATTGAGTAGCACTTATAAGTACTATGAACGAACGTATGTATACTTGCTAAGTTGGGTAGACGGCCAATTGAAAATAACAGTAACAATTGAAACTGTTATTTGAAAATAACGGTTTTTCCCATTTCTACTCTGGCCTGGAGTAGACTGTAAGTTTAGAAGGGGGAAATCAGTTGACATAGATATCTCGCGCACTCTCAAACGCATGCATAGTATCCTTACACCCACGGAAAAATTATTATTGCGTCTAGGGGGATGTTTGGCACGTGCGATTGGTCTGGCTGATCACACGTAGTTATGAAATGGTGTCCCCGATAACATATATAAAAATCAAGCGTTAGAAAAAAGTTAGTTTTTCTCAGCTTTCGCACCTGGTGTCGGTAAATTGGCCGTCTACCCAACTTAGCGGGTATACATAGGTTCATAGTACATTGTAATAACCCGGGAAAATAGACCCGTAATTTACAATGTCTTTACTGTAAAAATTAAATGTAATCAAATAATCAAAAACTGAATTTCTAATAATTAACATCAGTATCAATAAATTGGAAATGAAACCAATAAAAATTGACCCAAAAAAAAAAACGTTTATTTCTAATTATTTAGTCACCAAGCATCTCCTAAATCAAATCAATGAACTTATTAAAAGCGAGGCCAAAGTAATTAAATAGGTGATTTATGGCCGCACGTGTTTTTCGGCTTTCTTTGTGTTGTCCTCACATTCTTAAACCAAATCTGTTGACCCCAATAAACCAGGAAATTGCGACATAATTATTCGATTTTAAACAAATAAAAGAGGAAGGTTATTGAATGATGAAATTAGGAATTTTTGGAGGAACAAAACATATAAATACAGCGGTTTTAGAAGTGGAGGAGCAGTTAGTCAGTTCAGTCCAGTTAAATCTACAGTACCTAATGAGTTAGTCTGGATAAAATGCGAGAAACGTTTTTTTTATTTTTGCCTCGGGAAAACGCGATTGATTGAATCTTTGAAAAGTAGCTAAAATTTATGAAAGAAAGACCATTTAAATGCGTTCAACATTATGTGCGATCTCTAGAGATTTTTGAAGTAAATTAATAAAGTATATTAACGTGTGAAAAGTTAAATGTAAGTACTCTAGTGACTAGTAAAACTTTTTGACTTCATAAATGATGATTGACTATGAAGTGAATTAACTTTGGAGCTTTAATGCATAAAAACTTGAGTGATTTGACTGTAAAAACTTTATTGCATAACTTTAATTGCCTTCGAGTATAATGACATTTTAATTAATTTTGCAAAGAATTAACAAAGGAAAATTATAATGCTCTTAACAATATTCGATTTTGAGTAGGAATTATTAATTAAATAAATGTGTTTGTTGGCTAGGAATCCGAGTATAGTAATTGTGCTGTTCAAAATGATGCTTAGTGAAGGATGGGAACCACTAAAAGTAAAAGAATAAATCAATAAAAGTATGGGAAAATTTTGGTTCAAAATTGTTGTTCATAAAGTCATTGATGACCTTAAGTATTAAAGAATTTTGAATTAGGGTTTTTTTTTCATGTAGAAATTATTGTAAGGTTTTTATAAAAATATAGTTGGTAATACATATACTTAATCCAGTGAGTCGGATTATGACTCAAATAATTATTATTTTGCATAAGCAGTCAGTAAATGACTTAGGAGTTTTAAGAATTTATAGATATAGGTGGAGGGTAGTTTTAATAGGAATGTGTATCGGAAGTGTTGTAATGTATAAACTTATAAGTTATTAAGAAAAGAAGAAGTAGGGCGTTTTTTTTTTGTATGGATATTTCCTGGTCCGTAGTAATGAAATTTGAACGGATGTGAAATAATTTGAAAAAGGAAAAATAGAAGTGGCTGTCAGACATATAAAGATATTTGCTTATTGTAATTTTGGTTGTAAGGATTTTTATTCTGTTGTCTAGGGTTTTGAATAAGTAGGCCACAGGTAATTTTAAAAGGGTGTATAATGATAAAGAGAACAGGTAGGTATATAGTGGCGTCAAACAATAGTACAATGTACAATGAATTAATTAATGGACACAGCTTACAGTCGTCATCAAACAAGAAACGTCTTGAAAAACAAACTTGGCGTCGGCGTCTTTTATTATCATTTAAATCGCGTCTCGATCTAAACGATTCGTCTTTAGAAAACAGCAGGAAAAGGACTACTTAGTTTACTGAACGTCTTTTTGTAATTATTCGTCTTTATTATTCGTCTTTAATTTGTATAATTAGGATCGCGTCTCGACCGCTAAAAAATACAAACACGTCGTTCGCCTTCTGGCGCTAGAAGAGAGAGATTCAACCAATCCGCTCGCTTCCTCTTAAAAACAACGTTTCTAACCACATTCTATTTTCGCGCGGTTTTTTCCCTCTTTGTTTGTTTCCCAATGCTGAAATGAATCCGAAGACAAATGACCACAATGACAGACTAGAGCTCGTCTTTATAGGAATATCATATTCGATGGTTCGCAAATAACAAAACCCCTTACATATACCGACAAAAATAAAAATGACATTCTTTATTTAAATTGATAAAAATAATAACTTCCTACAGTATAATAAAATATAATTTACTAAACCTCAATAGTTTGTTTCTCTCTTTTGCGAATAGAGCCTCTCCAGGTAGCCGCTCAAGGAACTAAACAGCATCAATAAATCAATATACCGCTCGCCATTTACCATCTAACTAATTAAATAGCATAGGAAGTACCAGTGGTTTATACCTTAAATTGTTTATACTGTTCATAACATGAATTTATTGCTTTATTTTCTTAAAAGAATCTCCGTTGCATGTTTTTTGAAACATCCTTGTATTTCTTTATAAAAAAAGTTTGATTTACCTATGTATTTTTTTAAATTCTGTTGGATTTATTTCATGTTAATGACGTACATTGTATATTTTCAGTGCATCTTTAACTGTTTACATAACATAATACCAGGCCACCTAAAAGAGTCAAAACGTTTTGTGGTCAAAACACCTCACTATAAACATGTTGATTGTCCAGCAGAACTAACCACTAATGTCAAGAATCCAAAAATGAAAAAGTAAGTTACAACTTTACAACACAACACTGTAAAGGTACGGTTTGTTAGGATAGTACGCGACGCACAACTGACAACGTAAACGTCGCCATTGGTTCAGGTATGACGTACACCCGTTTTCTGACGTCAGCGTCAGCGTCAGCGTCAGGTCCTAATAAACCG